CAGGTTAGGTAAATGTAGACTATAACTACCGAGACATTCTATACAGTGACTAGACTGTTTACATTGAAAGACACCATATAACCAGTATGGGATTAAGTACAGTTGTACTCCACTGCTGCTAGGGGGCGCTAGAGTTCACTACCCACCAGGGCGTCCAACCACAGGTACTATTTCCGTTCCCAAGGCGACCGATACACTGTTATTGTCCATTGGCAGGAAAAGTCACCCCCGAGGAGGAATAGTTGTTGAGGATGGCGTCTCCCGACTCTGTGTTTTTCTCAGTGTTGTTGTGAGCCATGTTCATGTTCATGTTCAGCGCCTGCTGCAGCTGTGAGTACAGGTGCTCCGGCAGCCGCTCGCCTTCCAGCTGCTGCTTCAGCATCATGGGGTCGGCCGTTGGTCCCAAGGTCACGGAGGTCGGGTACTTGGAGCCGATTCCCTGCGATGACACGGGCAGGGAGAACATCCCGGCGTTGACCAGCTGCTGCCCGACCGCGGTGTTCAGGATCTGCTGCCCCGCGGCGCCCAGGAGCATGTTACGTTCGCTCGGCGTGAGAGAGCTCCACGGAGGTCTCTGTGTCCCGACCTCCGTACTGGTGGGGAGAGAGGCCAGGTCGTTACCATAGTGACCATTATTACCCAGAAGTCTTTGGTCGTTGTTGTAGGGACTGCCCTGCGAGGACGTGGGAATATGGCTCATCATGATCGGCGACTGATTGTCTACCTGCCCGCGGCGGGAGGCGTCGTTCGGAGACGGCACTCCGTTGTTGAGCTGCCCCTGCTGAAACATGCCCTGATTGGTGTTGAGGCTGGGCGAAACCAGCGCAAGAGAAACAGGGTTCTCAAGGTCAAACGAGTTCAGACCGCTGTCCCGTATGTGGAGGTCGCTATTCCCAAGGTCATTGTTCATGAGCGACCCCACATCCAATGGCGGGAGTAGACTGGGACAAACTCCCATGATCCATCAGTCCGCTGCCCTGACTGATCATGTGACCAGTCATGTGATTGTCCTGCCCGTCTGCCTGCATGATAAGGCTGGGCAGCTCGTTGTTGGACTGGAGTTTCTTCACCACGTCGTTGGCGGCCTCCAAGGCTCGCTCCAGCTCCTCAGCCTCCTCTCGTGTGGGCACAAACTCCCCGTTCTTACCTGCACAAACAACAAACAGTTGCAGTTTTTTTCTGACAAGCATCGTTGAAGAGGTTCATCAGTCACACAAGATTAACAATTAGTAGTAGTGTTTCTACCTTTCAAAAACAGTCACTGATTGATGAATATTCTACTAACTTCTGACGAGCAGTTTTTATATAGTGACAGTCAAACTTGTTTGAAGTAACTATTGCAGTTTTAACAAGGACTAAATCTTGTACATTTAAATTGCCACATTAGAGTGTTACTACTGGCAAGGTTATTAATGCTCGGGTTAAAGAGAAAATAATGTAAGCCACCGAAAAAAATCAGTGTTTCCCACCTGTGAAGAAGTCGAAACCTTCCAAGTCCTCCGGCAGCTTCGGGAGGACATCGGCAAAGTCATGTGACTCTAACAACCCTGGTGCGTGATGCGTCCCTTCCAGCGCCGACTGGACGTTATCGATATTCAGGTCCGTGTCGTCGATATCAAGCTCCAAGGACTTTTCAATGTCATGACCGTCCAGTTCCTGTAGGTCCTCTGTGATGTCATCGGGGTCAATGCCCTCTGGGGCAGGGCTGCAAAAGAGAACACAACATGATGACACTGTGAACTCAACCTGCACAATCACGCATCAACACATGTGTAATGTGATCCCTTTGGCATCAGATAATACAGTAGTATGTAATGTTTACAATCAAGTACTGACTTAAGTTGCACTTGTTGTAAAGCTTGTTGAAAAATACATGTGAATGTCTCTTTTCCAAGGACATTGTTTACTTGTAACAAAGATGGGCAAATCAGGCACTTTGCAAGAAGGAGAACAAGTGAAATATAAAGGAAATAAATGGCAAGTGTTTCTAAACAGCTTTTTGTATGATCCATACTTCCTAAATTCTGAGTGATGCAGGTAAAATTTGTCTGATGCAGGTAATTTTCAATGAAAAAAGGATTTCAAGCCCCAGTTTGCAAACAGTGACTAGGATGGTGTTTTGGTTTGTTATATGGTTTACGTACCTGAGTGCAGAAGTGTCGATCCCCAGACTAAGCGAGATGTCGTTGTTCCCCACAGGCTTGGCTGGAGGGATGGGTTTCTGCGGCCGACTGTTCCTTTTCTTTTTACTTTTGCTCTTCTTGGAGGAACGGGAGTGTGACGACTTGCTCTTCTTCCGCGGCTTCTTCGGGGGAGGCCCATGCTGGGCGGCAAGGGCAGCGGCCGCTTTTCTGTCTGCTTCTCTCTTCTGTGAAAGCTCCTGGGGAGGGAAGGGAAATGGCTGATATAAGTTTAGTGAAGCCTTCCACCACTGTACAATACAAACATTTCAAGAGATTGGAGACTTAACCCCCTCTAGCAGAACATACAGAAAGTGCAGTGCACGTGCCTCTCCGATCATAGAAGATTATGTAACATTATTGCACCAAGAATTGAAATATTTTAATCAAAAATATCTCTGTGTGATTGTTATTTACTACCACTTTTCGTCATACTTGTGCAATTATCTCAAATTTCTGACATTTATGGTTGGTACTAAATGAGCCCACAGGAGGCACATTGAATGAGATACATACTTCAGTTCAGTGTACATACTTTCATACTGTAGATTAATTTATTTTGCAGGTACTTAATTTTGCGCTAGGAGAGGAAAGGAATTTTTCAACCAGTTGACGTTTGTTGATGTACATTGATATCACATAAAGGAAAGGAAATGTATCACAGTGTCATAATTTGGAGGTAGAGAAGTCACTACACATTAGTAATACCGTAGACATTGACTGTAACCAGACATACTACGAGAGCCTACCCTTTTCCTGGCGTGTTCCAGACAGAGCGGTCTCTCGTGTGCGATGTCAAACACCGTGGTGCTGCACTGCCGTCCATCTGAGAACCTGGCCGTGCACCTCTGGTATAGCAGCTGATCAGGGTTAGCTCCCACATCTAATGGTTTCCGTTAAGGAGCATTCATTTTAATGTGTTTTATCCGAGATGTACTTATGTCTAAGGATCATTTTTGTCTTCCCCAGCTTGCAAACTACATTGTACATGTACCTACCAAAAATTACACCCGTTTAAAGAGAAGGCTCAGTGACATTTGAACTGCAACTTGGCTACAAAATGCCAAAAGTTGCAAACCTACAAACATACAGCCTTTAACCTTCTCCTGGCTTCCCGAACCATTTAATACAGAATTGGTGGCCAAACAGCTACTTCAGTGTGCTAAAGTTTAATACATTGATGTTGATAGCAAATGCCAGGGCTATAAACAACAGTAAGGGAACAAGAATGGAGGATAATGCCTTGAAAGGATACGTTGCACACAGAATCTTGTGAGAGGGAGGGCTCTCCTGGTACACTTCTGTCCCTCCCAGTCCCCGGTACACACCCTGGATACACCCACGTCTCTTCTTCTCACACTGGGTCTGTGGCTGAGAGGGAAGACAGAACATGTTACCAACGAAATAGAAGAATAGCTAGCAGACTCACAATAGTACATAAAGCAAGGCAACATAAGGTAGCCCTACCGGTCAAAACTCATCTTATGCCTGCACCGTGCCAATCACAACACTCCAACCCAAATTCGACACAATAACGACACTGCGCACTCCCCATGTATCTTATAATTACCCCAACTGAGGTGTCGCACAGTATCTTCTCAAGAACAAGAACCATAGTAACAGGGATCCACCAACGTCCTTGTAGATTAACCAGGACATAGACATATATGTACACATACCTGTGTCTGACAGCCACACTGTCTCTGTGTCTGCTCTCTTCTCTCAGCACTTCCACAGTTTCTCTCCTGTCCGAGCCGTAGGACCCCAGGACTGCCCGCGACTCCTGCTGGTTGAGTGCCTGTTTGTCTGCACTTCTCCTGAGGGACTGGAGGAGCTGGGCGTACTTCCTGCACAGGCCGCGGTGCACCGTGACTAACCGCTTGTCCCGCGGTCTCACCGGGGAGGCGTCGACGGAACTGGAACGGACAAAACAAGGGCATACTTCACAAACCGATCTGTACAAAGCTGAGACAGACAATATTCCAGTAAGCTTCCTAAACTGAGACCAATCTCACCTTCTTCTACAATGATTCAGTGCACTACTTCAAATTTTTAGTAGGAAAACTGCAACTCTTATATTCAGGTAGCTTACTTTTTATTTGTTTATTTTTATTTGCTATAAAACAAAAACAATACAGAAAGCAAATATAACAATCGAACGAAACAGAAAATGGAATAATTAACCTAAACAGAATGGATGTGCTAAAGAAAAATTGACAACACTCACTCTGACGAGTCTTCTTCCTCAGAATCATCTGAGAACCAGGAATGTTGCCATGGTAACGAGTCATGTGACTCGTCCTCGCTGTCTGATGACTCTATCACTGTAGCGGAAAACATTATACCTTTGTCATACTAAACTACATGTACCTGTATGTACAAATGTACTACGGTAGTGCTGTACATTTTTTATGTCATAACTGGGACGCAATAACGTTTGATACTGCTGTTCAGGCACGTGTGATACTAGTAACTACTGGTATCACACTGGGTTCTAAATGGTTATTACATGGGCTTTCATAGTTCCACAGTATTTTGACACATTTTGCATTGAAATGTGTGTTTTTCTAGAGTGGGTATGAGTACTATAACATGAATAAAATACAATATGGCGTATTCCGCATCACCCTCAGTCCCAGATGTCCTGTCAGTCAAATCTCTTTCCGGCCTTCTGGTGACCCAACCAGTAGGAGGGCTAGCACCTTGGGTGCAGTATCCTATATTTATATACTCTTTGGAGTGGCTGTCAACACTTTAGAGGTGGTTTCTATTATGGTAAATCTAAACAACTAGAGAACAAAAGCTGAGGTTGTTGACCTAATACTTACATGAAAACAAGTCTACCCTCGCTTCTTCTCTGCATTGCAACAACTTCATCAGTCTCCTGACCTCTGACCTCCGCGCCTCGTGGAGGTACTTCCGTACACATTTTGTGGGTTTCCTGGGCCGCGTGGCCATGAAAGGCACAGTGGGGGGGATATACGGTGGGGGGAGGGGGTATGACATGGGGGAGGGGGGTAGTGAGGAGTGGAAAGGCATCATACTGGTGTGGAATGGGTGAAGGGAGAGGTGTGGGGAGGGGGGCGGTACAGCCATGTGTGAACTTGAGAAGCTCGGGAGCTGATGACAGTTCAGGTCCTCCTTCTTCAGTCTATTCTGAGTGATTTTGTTGTGCAGCCGCGACTTGACGGACTTCCCCTTGGCGGGCGGGTCCGGTTTGCGAAACACGGGTTCGTCCGGAGGCTCCTGCTTGATGGTGATTGGTGGAACCGGAGGCATGACAGGGTCCCACGCGGGGAAGTTTCCCACGTGCAGCAGATTGTCCGACTCCTTTTTCACCTTCTCTTTCGAGGTTTTCCTCCGTTCCTTCTTGGGAGCCAGCCCCATTACTTGTAAGTGGCTGTTACAGTAGCTGGAAGAACAGAGACACAATAAACAAACTTGACATCATTTAGTTAACTGATTAAATCATTGGTAACTACCAAAAACATAACCTACTTTGAGAGATCTATGCAGTTAACTAGTTAACTGGTTAGTTCATTGGTATCTAGCAAAAACATAACCTACTTTCTGTCCTAGTTCTTGGGAGCATGGTTTGAAGAGGGCTATGTAGGTTAAAGGATTAACTGGTTAGTTTACTGGTCACCTAGTAACTTACTTTCTGTCCTGACTCTTAGGAATGGGGTTGGTGCAGCGCTGGTTGTTGTACTTGGCCACGAACTCGCACTGCTTGAAGGGCGCCGAGCGGTCCTCCAAAACATGGCGGATACAAAAGGCGTAGCCGTTGAGCCTGCGCTGCTTACAGAGTTTGGGGCTATAGGAACACAGCGGCTTGTTGTCTACCTCCGAGTAATGGATGTGTTTTCCCTGGTACATGCTCGTGGCTGGGGCCTCATTACGATTGGATGCTGGAGAACAGGAGGAAACAAGTTGTTATAAGGGGCATTATGTGACATTTTTGCACCAGCAATATTGAAATATTCTATTTAAGAAAATATTCGTGCAATTGTAATTTACTTCCAGCAAGGACGTTCTATTACATAGAACGTCCTTGCTTCCACCTTTCAACATATTTCTGCAATTATCTCATATTTCTGACATCTATGGTTGGCCTGGGTACTAAATTTAAAACAGCCTACATGAGACACACTCAAGTTTGTGCAGTTTGCATAAGCACCCAGTATTTCTAGCCCTGGTTGACCTTGCATACCCCCTATAACACAGCACTTCAAATAACCCAACCTGGTCGTAAAAGAGGCTTCTGGCGGGAAATTACGACCTTTTATGGCCACAAATATCTGTGCATTGACCCACTGCACTGATTTCACTTCTGGGTAACCCGGTTTATGTAAACATGCATCATTTCTACATCGGGGTCAAAATAATTGTACCTATTTTTACATTATGTTTATACTTATTACCTTGTCACGGATAAATTCTAAAGTAAAGCAGGTCAAATCCTATGACTCACGTTATTTTGCAAAAAAAAATTTAGAAAGGGTAAAGATTTGTATCAGCATATAAGACGGATGTGTGTATACATGTATATTCCACCAAGCCGTTACCAGAATATACTGGCAAAGGTTTCTATCAGAGCTTAACACCAAATGGCTTGCTTGGGTCTTTTGTTTCCTTGCCATTTAACCAGCCACAACTGTTCAATCATGATTCTGTGCCCTGATCCCCACAGTAAATGGCGCCACTTTTACCAGCCTTCTTAACTCCAGAGCCTGTGTTCAAACTAATAAAGCTTGGTCATATCAGGGTCCAGGGATTTGGTTCGAGTGAAAATGGCCTTAATCCAAGCCATCCATCAAATATGGAACCTGTTCAGTTACTTACAAAACAGACAAGTATCCAGGGCTTTAACCACCAAACAAGCTCACGTTCAGTATAGGATTGCACGCATGTTTTCCAAGAAACTGTGGTGGAGAAATTGTGTAAACAGGAAATGAAATGTATGTGACGTTACCTGGTCATCATGATGCATATCAAGAGAAAAAAGCTCTTTAATGCCTTAACCAAATATGGTCAAATGTCAAGTGGGGACATAGCCTATATTAAAACATATGAAAATAGGTTGGATAGGGTGGGTTTGTGCTCATACTTAACTACATGTATTCAGATTTTCTCTGAAAGGCTAAAGCAGAGTTAGAAATACTTTTTGTTCAATGTTCTGCAATATTGCAGGTGAGTCAAAATTTTGTTCTGCAATTTGAAAACACTTCCTGCAAATACGCAAGCGTCCATACTACAAGTTGAGTACAACCTTCCCAATGTAATAAAGCAAAATTTCAAAATCTTCCGCAATAATATTGCAAATCTCTCTGCAAAATGCAAATGGTTGTTTCGAACACTGGCTTAAGCAATGAAAAGGCAGGCCACTGATGGACTGGGTCATACGAAATTCAAGAAATACAATGAAATAGCTTTCCCAAATAAGTTTCGTCAAGGTACAACGTATAAGAAACTTATACAAGGCCTAAAAATAAGTGATGTGTTCTGGTAAAAATGTAAGACTAAGAGGAAGCAGAACTACGGGTCAGAAGTGAAATTGTAACTTTTCTATAGAAAGTTCCCCTTGGCCTTACCAGGTGCCCCTAGCCTGGAGACCAGGTACCTCTAGGCAGTCTAGAGGTCACTATACTGTATACAGGTGGTAACTAATCATTAGTTACCCCCAGTACAGTTGGCTTGACTTCCTAGAGGTACCTGGTCTAAAATAATCTACATGTATAATAGGGCCTGCATAGGATAGTTTCTCACAGCACTTTACAATAAATTCAGCAAGTGTCCATTACGCGAAATGTGTCCATCTCACTACAAATTACAGGGATAAAAAAGCATTACGGTGAATCAAAATAGCTTTCCTACACAGGCAGGCTCGCCTAAAAGGATTGTAAATATAGACTGTTACTAGCCGTACAAGCCAATAAGAGGAAGTTTGACCTCACTAACTGTATCAACACTAGATAACTCAGCTTGGGTAAACATGTATGCACACTGTTGCACACCAATCTCCAAGTAGACGTGGGGTGGAAAAATGGCCAGCCAACTTTTCTGTCGAGTAGCATTGGACTAACAGAATTTACGCAGGTACAACAGTGTTCTAGCTAGTGTCAATCTTTCTGTCACTTAAATGAATTTTGCCTCTCGTGATGGACAAAAATTTTGCCCGATCCGTCATGTTTGACAGGGAAAAATCGGCGTGGAAAGATATAGAAAGATATGTCATTAAACTAAGCTTAGTCTATCAGGAAAATTTGCCCCAAAAATGCAGGAAAAAGCATTTCAGATGGTCAAGATTTAAAATTTTCACAAGGGACCATGCCCCAGCCCCCAGACCCTCTAGAATTGTTGCAACACTAGCAGCACTTGACATGGTTTTACATGGTCAAACAAAATTGAGATGACACAAAAACATTTCAGGGTTGCTAGAATACTGACCTACACTAACAGTTACCTGACAAAAAAAATAGTTCGTCACGAAAACAAGAACAGTTTTTGGATGATCCCCCAGCATTCATCTAAACTGGAGTGTGATGAAGCATGCCCAGCGATCTACGGCCACGGAGCAATGAACACACCTGACCTGAGATTTCCTCAGCTATCGCATTATTGATCACATACAAAGTGATGCGCTCCAAGTCGCAGCGGCTATGCCCCGTTTTTACCACACCCAAGCATGCCGTACTATCAAAAGATTTTAATTCATTCTACTCCAAGTTAGAGTCTAAGGCCACATCAATTTGATTTGTTGGTTCCCTGATTTTTTTAGAAAAAATGTGAAGCAACAGGGAAAAAATCATCCTATGATAGCCCCAAGTGTTACTATAGCCTATAGGAACCATGAAGTCAACATATCAGGCTGCTTCATCATCAAAACAATGAATTTTGAACTTTTAATCAAACCTCTGCATTTGAAGATAGATGGAAAACTGTAACAAAGTTGGGATGACAAGGACTTTTTTTAGATGGGGACCAAGATACAAATGTACACGAATGTGCATTTTGAATATACTTTTTTTTGGAAAATGAGAAAAAAATGAAGCAGGGAAATCCAACATTCAAATTCCAATTGATTAAATTTGTGAGGCCTATGTTAGAGCTTAACCAATCTTCTGTTTCAGTATAACTCTGTTATGCACATAATATAATGTTAAACTTTATTTCAACACATTCCTGTGCACTCTTTGTGTTGGGATAAAGTTTAACATTGTACTATGATTACTACCAACACAGACGTACTTCCAAGATAATCTTTTACACACAGTAAGTGTAATCTTCAAGCTCAGATAGGCTTCTTTTAGTTTAGTTTCTCTCTACTGGTCTCACTCCAATCCCCCCCCCCCAAAAAAAATATGGAACACTAGAGATAAAAACATAGAAAAGGCCACAAGAGACCCAGAGAACAAGCTCAACCAATACATCTGCTTAATGATTACTGAGAACATATTTTTTTAGAAAATCTGATAATATTTGCTAACCTGCCATAATTAAGGGAACAGGAAATATATCAGCTCTGCCTCACTGTACAGGTAAGATACAGTAAAGAACATAAATCAGTATCTACAAGTACAAGGGACATCAATAAATTCTCAGTCTCACCCAGAAACATGAATGACAAATCAAATTTTGGGGCATAAATAGTATGAACCCTTCTGAAAACAATTTCATCAGATTTGTAGAAATGTATTGTATGTATGCTAGTATGTATTGATATAACTATGAGTTGTGTCTGCAAAATAAATTCTCTGTTTGCATCTAGCATTTGCCATGTACAAATGTACAATCCCCATTTATGTTGACCTAAATTTCCTTTTAATATACAGAAATATATGGCTTGGTGTAGATTAAATTTAGTCAGTAGTTGCTATACATAATCTATCATCATCATCATTGGTAGTATCTCGTGTTCAAGCATTCGTGCTATACCATGTATCATCGTAAAATGCTGGGCACTAAAGTTGACCATTTGATACTTGGTACATGCAATTGTGTGGCCGAGGAGCTTTTTTATTAAACGCAATGTTGGCTAAACTGCTTGGTAGCATGAAATACCCCTAACCGGTACCATCTGCAAAACCTAAGGTTAGGGTACTAGTATATTTAACCAGCAATGTTTTCGTGACAAAATTTCTAGATGATGCATATTGCATATTGATGAACTGAACAGGCAAGTTTGTATGGGTACAAAAAATTCCATCCACGTTAGGAAAGGAGGATCGTGTCGTTTGAGAGGGCAATGTTCGCTCTTTCTCTGTCCATTGATTTTTACTGGGTTACACAGTACGGATTCACTTGAATGGACGCTCGCAATGGTCACTCCATCATTGTGGATGGCTCCTGAATTGAAATGGGATGTTTTAAGTACATGTACATGTAGTCTTACCCTACATGTTCATGTGCATGTACATAAAGTTATAAACATTATACATGTAGGTACAAATGTAGTCTTCACAAGACTAACACTGTAGTTAAAAAACAGTCAAAGTTAGCCAAAAAGGGGGATACATGTAGTTGGTATATATATATATAGCTAGGTATATATATATATATAGAGTATATATAGCTGGAATACATGTGTAGGTGGATGTACCTACTTACTACCAATTACCTAATACCAGCTCAGAAAAGAACAAGAAACTGTCATGCCAACAAGTACTGGAGTTATTAACCAAGGATTGAGGTGTTCAAAAAGTCATCTTTATCCTAAAAGTACCATAGAGGTGAACTCGCTGCCACCAAAGACTTCAAAAGTTCCATAAACACTCAACAGGCCCATACTTTTCTGTCCCAAGCCAAGACAAGCCCTTTCTTTCACCATGTGACTGTGGTACACAATGGCACCACATAACACTATACCAATATGGGCGTGGTATCGTAAAATGTCATAAATTATACATGG